TATATTTGGTTTTAGCAGACCTACTACTTACTTGAAAGCACCTGTCTTCTGTTAAGGTTGATACATCAAATGACTTTTTCTACCTATATGACTACTCAGCAAGAATGCAGAATAGTCTCCCTAATGTTTAAAAACTGGCACTGGGGCTGGAGAGATTGCTCAGCAGAGGACCCAGGTTCTGTTCTCAGCACCCACATGGCCACTGACAACGATCCCTAACTCCCAGGGGGTCCAATGCCCTCTCTCTCTCGGTGGGCACCCAAAACAAATGTGGCACACATACATACATGCAGGCAAAACACATGGATTGGCTCCTGTCAAGAGAGCCTCCAATCCAACGAAACTGTCATTATTAACCCTACTGACAATCAGGACATGACTGTCACATGAGGACATGTGCGTCATATAACTTTCACTGTTTTAGGGTTAATTTCTAGTTGAGACTGCTGACAATCTTTTACCCCATCAGTCATAAATACTTCTTTAAAAAAAAAATTCGTGGCAGTAAGCATAAATCCATTCAGACTCAGTGTCACAATCCAGGAATGAGAGACTGATAGCCGGTTAACTTAACAAGGAAAAGAGGCCAATTAGCATTTCTCGAATGCCTGAATATAATATTTTACTTCACCATCATTTTAATACAAAATAATATAATTAAAAATCACAAGCCAGGTGGGGTGGTGGTGGCACACGCCTTTAATCCCAGCATTCGGGGACAGAGGCAGGCGGATCTCTGTGAGTTCAGGACTAGCCTGGTCTAAAGAGCAAGTTCCAGGACAGGCTCCAAAGCTTCACAGAGAAACTCTGTCTCAAAAAACAAAAACAAAACAAAACCCAGTTAGGTTAGCCAATTGTGGTGGTATTAAGTCTTTGATCTCAGTACTAAGGAGGCAGAAGCAGGTGGATTCGGGTCAGCCTAGTCTACAGAGCGAGTTCCAGGACGGCCAAAGCTACACAGAGAAATGCAGTCTTGAAAAAACAAAAATCAGCCCAGTGATGGTGGCACACGCCTTTAATCCCAGCACTTGGGAGGCAGAGGCAGGCGGATCTGGTCTACAAGAGCTAGTTCCAGGGCTAGAGAGATGACTCAGAGCTTAAGAGCACTGGCTGCTCTTCCACAGGTTCTGAGTTCAATTCCCAGCAACCACATGATGGTTCACAACCATCTATAATGAGATCTGGTGCCCTCTTCTGGCCTGCAGGGATACATGCAGACAACACTGTATATATAATAAATAAAAATAAATCTTTTTTTTAAAAAAAAGAGCTAGTTCCAGGACAGGCTCTAAAACTACAGTCTCCTGTACTACAGTCTCCTTTACAAACCCTGTCTCGAAAAACCAAAATAAAGAAAGGAAGGAAGGAAGGAAGGAAGGAAGGAAGGAAGGAAGGAAGGAAGAAAAAGCCAAAACAAAACAGTAAAATCACTTAGGTTGGTAGGTATAGTGACACATAACTTTAATCCCAGCACTTCAGAGACAGAAGCAAGCAGATCTCTCTGCGTTCAAGGCTAGCTATGAGCTGGGCGGGGGTGGTACACACCTTTACTCCCAGCACGGGGAGGCTGCGGGCAACCTGGTCTACAGAGCAGCATTCCAGGACAGCCAGAGCTACACACACACACACACACACACACACACACACACAAAACCTCTAGTCTCAATAAATAAATACATCACTTATGCCGTTTCCATAGCAGTGGCTGGAGTCCTAAAACTGTATTCCATACACACACAACACTAGATCGAAAAACAACAAAACTCTTTTCTTGAAGTTCTCATACCTCTTCAAAACTAAGATCTGTGGGGACATTATTACACATAGCTTTTGGCTGCCAAAGAGAATATAGAATGTAGGAGTATTATATGTAAGTTAACGAAAGAGAAAAAAAGTGTGGGTATACTTCCAGGACAGTAAGCTTGGTCAATGGCATGCCCACTTATGACAGCTGAACAAACCCTGTATAATTATTAAGGAGCTTCACCTTCACACCCTTAAAAATGAGAAAAACAGGGGACTAAACACCATAAGTGCCTTTACTCCTTACAGAACGAAGGGGAAACTAACTTCACCCTAACTTCACAATTCAGTCTTTTGCCCTTTGAGGAATTGAGAATATTAAAGAGGCCACAATTGACTTCAGGGACTAGAGTATGTTTTCAGTGAATGCTGACCCTTGTAGGAGTCTTTCTCAGCCTTTCATGGCGAAACACTACTACTTAAGATGTTTCTCAAGTGGCCCTGTGCTGCCAACGGTACGACCCTCCCCCCATCTTTTCCTCCAACCACACACAAAATGAACTTTCAAGTCATTCTATCTTTAATAACCTGGCATTAATTCAAAGCATGAAAAACAAAAGTTAAGATTGTTCCTTTTACGGGAGATGCCCATTACGATAGAGTCAGTCACGTGGTGAGATAGGATTCCAAACAGTGCGGGAAGGCGTCCCTGCTCACGGATTGACGCATTTGGTTACTGATAATCAGCCTGCGGGCGGGCAGCAGAGGAAATTAACGAACTCTCAGAGAACAGGACGCGGTTGCTGGGTCATGAGCACCTTGAAGCGTTTCTTGATGGTGATTCGGTGTCTTGAGTATTTGTCGTCAGGGGAAAAGCGAGCAGGATGGGCAGAGCAAGTCTGTTGTCCCATCGGGTCAAATTTCTGCTCAAGGAAAAGAGAAAATGATCTCGATATATGACTGGCGTGATATCAAGGGGGCAACGGGAAAATGCGAAACATGAACAGAGGAGACGCGATGGTCAGAACTGGAAGCCGTGCACTGCCCAAATCTACCACGTTTCGGCCCCAATGTGGCTCCAAGCACCGGGATGCCGAGGCCGGTTCCACCGCTCCTCCCACCTAAATTTCTCGTCCTCCCGCTTTACCGCTGTTTCCTCTCCTTACCTTTAACGTATAGACGCGATCTCCCTGTTCGTTGAGGTAATACTGGAGAAACATGACTGCACTTCAGCAGGAAGACGCCAAGCTGTCTGCAGTCAGTCGCCTTTGCCAGGAGTGCGGCTCCTCAAACGTGCTTGCCAACTTCCTTCTAGTCTCGCCGGAAGTCTCTGTAAAGCATGCCGGGAAATGTAGTCCATTTCTCCACTTATATCGAGGCGACCAGAAGGGGGCATAGTAGAGCAGGATTTGGCCTTGGACTCCAGTTAGCTACAATCTTGCAAAATTATTAAGATCCTTGGAAGCGTCCACTTTGTGCCAGACACGGCCAGACGTTAGGAGGTGGGGATGAGTGTGGGTTTAAATGTTGATGCATCCAGTTCTATCTTTAATATCAAATCGCATAGCCATATCAAAGGCACTAGTTTTGTAGTTCCTGGAGAAACAAGGGCTCCAGGATTCTCTACCTTCTATATCCTAGGGAAGAAGTAAGATGTTTTTCCGAGCCCCACTTTTACATCCGGTTTCCCGCCCTATTTCAAAGTATTGGCGGTAAAGAGTGCATGATGGGTATTCGATATTATGCAAAGTGAAAAGAACGTAAAGGCTTTCTTATGAAACCGGCGAATTTTGCTTTAGAGATCGAACCAAGATTCAAACTCAGGATTTGACCACAAATTCAGCTCTTATATGGTGAGTAGCGAATAATAGCACAATAAGGTATCCTTGGAGTATTCCCAGTTTTATAAAAGAATGAAAAGCCTTAGCCGGGCGGTGGTGGCGCACGCCTTTAATCCCAGCACTCGGGAGGCAGAGGCAGGCGGACCTCCATGTCTTCAAAGTGAGTTCCAGGAAAGGCTCCAAAGCCCTATCTCCAAAAAAAAAAAAATAAGAAAAAGAAAAAAGAAAAAAAAAGAGATAAAATAGTGCAAAGTCTTGTAAGAGTCTAGTTAAAAAAAATAAAACCAAGATATTGCAAATGATCTTTATAGCACTATTTATAGTAACAGAAATATTATATTTATTTATATAAACATTAAGTTTATAGCCAGAAAAACCTTAAGTTTTTTTTAAAGCAATGGATATAGTTGGTTTGCTCTCTGTTGCATAAAATACATTTAAAAAGCCAGGGAGTTTAACACATGCTTATAACCCTAGAAGTTCAGAGGCTTAGGCAGAAGGATCTCCACAACCTGTAGGTTCAAAGCTGACCTGAGCAGTTTTCTGAGCAGCTTTAAACTGAGAAACAAAAAACAAAAGTGTGTGTTTGTGTGTGTGCGTATACACATGTATGCTCACATGAGACTTTGCCAGGTGTATTTGTGTGTTTGTGTTTGTATGTGTGTGTACACGTGTATGCTCACACAAGAATTTGCCAGGCGTATTTGTGTGTGTGTGCGTATACACATGCATGCTCACATGAGACTTTGCCAGGTGTATTTGTGTGTATGTATACACATGTACGCTCACATGAGACTTTGCCAGGTGTATTTGTGTGTGTGTGTGTGTGTGTGTGTGTGTACAAGTGTATTCTCACACGAGACTTTGTCAGGGGCAGGAATGTACTAGAAGCAATGTTGGCCTCTTCTGGCTTGGAGAACTTAGTTACAGGGAAGTAAGTAGGAAGAGTGATTGCTGCTATATATTTTATTTTATATAGCCTGGACTTTTTGTTTGTTTTGTGTGGTTTTTGTTGTTGTCAACCATTACATACACACTGAATTTTAGTTGTTTTAATCCTCCTGTGCCGTTTTTTTATCGTCATTTTTTTTCCTCTCCAAACTTTTATTAGTCTGACTTTTTAGTGTAGATGGACATTTCTTTCCCACTTGGACCCTCAACTGTTCAGTTTCAAAGAAACACAGAGAGGCTTATATTAATCGTAAACTGTTTGGTCTATTAGCTCAGGATTATTGTTAACTAGCTCTTAGAACTTAAATTAACCCATAATTCTTTTCTATGTTTAGGCAGGTGGCTTGGTACCTTTTCTCAGTAAGGCATTCTCATCTTGCTTCCTCTGTGTCAGACTGGTGACTGACTCTGCCTTTTCTCTTCCCAGAATTCACTTAGTCTGGTTGCCTCACCTATACTTCCCACCTTGCTACATGTTTTAGCCATGCTAATATATTAATTCAATAACTTTTTAAAGTTTGTTTATTTTATTTCATTTGCATTGGTATTTTGCCTACATGCATGTCTGTGTGAGGATACCAGGTCTCGGAGTTAACACTTGTGAGCTGCCATGTGGGTACTGGGAATTGAACCTGAGTCCTCTGGAAGAGCAGTCAGTGCTTTTAACCACTGAGCCAGCTCTCCAGCCCTTTAATTTGATAACTTTAAAAGGTAACTTAATGAAAAACTTTATAGTAATTTTAAGACAGGGATCATGGCACTCAAGAGGCCAAGGCAAGAAGATCTAAGGTTTGCGCTTAGGGCTACATAGCCAGACTGTCTCAAAAAATTAAAAGGGGACTGGAGAGATGACTCGGTGGCTAAGACTGCTCGAGGATCCATTCTTGCAGAGGACCCAGGTTTGGGTCTCAGCACCCACAAGACAACTCACAACTGACTGCAACTCTCCAGTTTCAGAGGTTCTGACTCCCTCTTCTGGCTTCTGGGAGCACCAGGCATGCACTCAGCTGCAAGTCATATAAATACAAGTCATTCAGACAAATATCATACACATAAAATAAAGCTACATAAACCCTTTGAAAACTATTAAAGAAATATATATATATATATATATATATATATATATATATATATATATATATATGTACAGGTCTTTAATCTCAGTACTCAGGAGGTAGAGGCAGGCAGATCTCTGTTGAGTTCCTAGCCATCTAGGGCTACATAGCTTACCCTGTCTCGAAAATAAATGAATAAACAAATAGATAGATAGATTAAATAAATATTTTTTAATTTAGTAAGGTTTTTCAGCAAATGGAAAAGGCTGTGGCTTCCATGAACTGCAGAGCTGTTAAGATTGCACCGTTTGGGGATTATAGCGAGAACGTCTCCTTCATACAGTTAGTTCCCCTTGTAATCCAAGCTCTTCCTAACCTCCCGCCTCAGCCTCCCGAGTCCTAGGGTTACAAGTGGGTGGTGGCTTTTCAAAAAGGCGGCGCTCACACCAGTTGAACACCCTGGATCATGAGACACTTCAGTTTCAAACATTTAGTTTTCTTGATCCTCAACTATACAAACCGTGTGCTCCAAATTTGGCTCAGAAAATAGAGTCATCTTTGTAAGAAGCCGAAGGTCTACCACTAAGCTGTTACTAGTAGTTACAGAACTGGAGGGACCGAAGGGCATAGGATTCGATGTATTGTTGAAGAATAAGAAACCCAAATCTAAAACTACAGTCTAATGTTGGGAATCTGAGAAAACAGTGTACAAATTGTCCAAAAAAAAAAAAAAAAAAGACACCCAACAACTATGCTATCAAATTCATGTAGAGGGATCTTCTAGTTTTTGCTTACTTACTTCTAACCCACTGTGGAATACCTCCCTATTCGCACCACACAATACTCCCCCTCCCCCCACCTTAGAATGCCTGCTTCCGAGATTCTAATTCTGTTTTGACCCATCCTTTCTTCCTTGGATATCATCTGTTAGAGCTGGGTTACTGCCTGGCTCCTGGACCCAACTGTTTCATTCTAGAGGCTTCCAGGCAGACACTGTTGATGTACCTAAACCTTAGATGATGGCATCAGACAGAAGTAAGATGGGGGTGGTGGAGACTGTAGGCTGTCTGCCACCTGCTCACATGCCTGGGCTGTCAGATTTGTCCCTTTACCTAGGAACAAATTATTTAGGCTGACCTAAAGGGATGTGAGGCATCCGACCCCACACACAGGCATTAGGGAGTCCGGGAAGGTAGATTTTTACCTTAAGAACGGGGGAGGTCCTCCGTGGAAAGGAAGTAACACACTGAATACAGGGAGTGGATGGCAACCACCGATTTGATTCCCCAGAAGAGGGAGCACTTCAGCATGCTTGGGGTGGAAGCAGAGGTTCTGTACAGTACGAGCAGCCTAGTCAGGGGTTCAGGGAAGATTCAAGACCTGTGTCTTCTGCCAACAAGTGCCTGCTCCAGGACTTTGCCATGAGAAGGCAGCGCTGAGTGTCTTTTGAGCTTTCGAGGGAAAGTAGGCTCGAAGAATGGAGAAGGGATTGGGCCAGGGGGACAGCTAAAACTCTTCAGTGGGGTTATTCACTTAAGAGCCAGTGGATGGGACTAGAGAGTTTATAAAACTGCTTGCACCCAGACCTAATAGCTCCTACCAGCCACAAACGTCACTTCTTTTCAGTCCAGGCAGCAGACTTTTCTTTCTTTTATAGTAATTTATTATACATATATCTATCTGGAAGTTGGGAACTCTAAGACTAAGTTTCCATCTAATTACTGTTCCGGGGAGGGTACTTTTCTTGCCCCATAAACAATTTCTGCGTGCATGTGCATGTTGAAATAGGAGCGGCAGGGCTGCATCCCCGGCACCCGGCCGCCCACATGGCTAGCTTATACCCAGAAATAATTACACGGAAACTGTATTCTTTCAAACACTGCCTGGCCCGGCTAGGTCCAGTTTCTTATTGGCTAGCTCTTACATATTGTTCTAACCCATTTCTAATATTCTGTGTAGCCCATGAGCTGGCTTACCAGA